CAGTATACAAATAGCCAGAGGCAATCACAAACTGCTCTAAAGTGCACTAATATGTACCCTTTCTGGAAGAGGTTGATTATGCTCCAAATTAGCATAAACAGAGATCTGCTATAGAGATCTAATGTAGGTTAGAGCAGCAAACCCTCCACAACACAGGACTGGGAGAGGGAGGATTGTGTATTAAACAAAGTTATTCCACTTAAGGACTAAACTTGTATTTGGCTAACAAAGTAAGACTCATCATGACAGAGGGGGGAAAAAAAAGAACTGTTATTTGTGAACTATGAACTAGGTTTTGGAAAGGTGACACACCCACTACTTGAAGTCACAAACTCAGCATTAAATCATATGCTCATTTAACCAGGCATCAACTTTCCTTCTGTTAGAAACCCAGGGTTTTTACACCTACAGACTAAATGATTAAAGTATTGCTAAAATCTTCTGTAATGTTCCTCTTGCATTACAAATAAGTCTATTAAAGCAGAAAAGTGCCAATCAAATGCTTTTGAAAAAATGGTTTAAATAACAAAGCATTTTTTGCAGGTCCTTCTCTTTAATGTCGCCTATAAACTAATTACAACAAATTCTTACCTTCTCTTGATAAAAATCACAACTGAAACTAGGCATGGTGGCATCTACCTATAGTCCCAGCAACTGGGAGGCTGAGGCAGGAGGGAGAATCACTTGAGCCCAAGAGTTCAAGTACAGCCTAGGCAATAAAAGGAGATCTCATCTCAAAAAACAAAAAGGAAACCCAGAACTGAAAATGATTTAGGTACTTGGTTTTTCAGATACATTCCTAAAAACTAATCCTAACCAAAAATTAACATATATTCTCACTTCTGTTTTACTACACTTTGCTAACAAGATAATACTATGTAGAAAATTTACAGTAAATTTCAAGACACATTTTTTAATATAAAGCAACATTTTATTTATTTCAAAGACATCACTAAAATTATGAAAAAAATAAAATCCCTGTCTGTTAAAATTACCTACCAAAATATATGGAGAAAGTTTCATGACAATAATAAAAGGAACAAATAAGAAATAAACTAAGATCTTCCTTTCCTATCACTGCCAACTGGTAAACGCCTTCCTCCTCCTCAAACTTCTGTAAGCTCTTTCAAATTGCAGTTCCTAAAACAAGAAAGCAGCTAAGTTTTAAAGTGTCATTCAAAAATCTCCTCTCCTAACAATCTAAAATGCAAAAAGTGTGTGTGACATTAGAACGTAAGCTCCACAAGGGCAGACAATTTTCTTTCTTGTTCATTATTATACTCCAAGTGTCTAGAACAATTTGATAAATTTAATCATCCATTTCAGAAAAATATGATTATTTCAGAGACTAAAGCAAAGCCCATCAAGCTCTACTTCCATATTCCAAATGTTTTAAAGACGTCTGTTTGCCACTAATTCTCTGAAGGTATTCAGAATAATCGGTAATTATTTTATAAATGACAGATCCTTTACAGTAACTTATGTATAGCTTTTATTGCTCTTCTAAGATGACCTAATTATTCAGAGTAGCTTTTTGTAGATAGTTCAATTTGTCTAAAAAGTCTTCTGAAGGCTTTCAACAATGAAACAAAAATAATTCACTTAAAATATTTTTTCCCTTAGATTTTCTTCCTATATCAAGTAGTCAAATTCTTAATAGGACAATAAGAGGCGTTAGATATTTGCAGGTCTCAAAAACTTTCTGACCCCACTATATATGAAACTGGCATCACATCAGCTGGTAGTTCTAAACACCCTCTTCCCCAATTACAGCCCTTACAAGAAAGTTTCTCTTTCCTCTAGTATTCCAGGTAATCTCACATTTTCTTTTAGTGGCTAATCAATGTTAATTCTAATGTCACATATGACCTATATGTGTATTTTCTTGGTATGGTAATAATCTTAAAACATGGGCCCAGATGGGTAAGCATAAAGACTTCTTCCTGGAAATAGATAAAATTTGACAATTGTTAATCTGACACTTTCTTTAGCTTGTTAAAATTAGAACCTCACCATGAAACGGCACATTGCTGTGAAGGCTGGTAGCCAGCAATCTTGTCACCTGATCTTCACAGGCACAAGGCCTGTATTCTACTGATCTATAAGATCTGAAACCATGAAACTAAAAACATCCAATTGCCCAACTCACTGAGCAGCTAATATAGTTCTAGAAATCTCACTTTTCTTCTCACCTGTTTACTTCAACACCATGTGTTGTTCTCAAACCTAAGGCCCTCCAAAATTGAGCTCCATAAAAATCATAACCCTAATCTCGAAAATTAACCCTTGAGCACTGAACAGTTACATCAGCAATTTCTCAGAGGCAATTCCAAAAGCTTTCCAGGGAGACTATTGGAAAGATGGCACAGGGACATCACCATGCACTATGTGTGCAACAACTTTGATATATTCTAAGAATCACAAAAAACAAAGGCATGAAAATCAATGTGAATTTTTTTTCTTTCACTAGAAAAAGAGAGATTCTTTGTTTTAAAAGCCAAAAAGCAGAAAGTAACCACATCTTGACGGGGCAAACTTACAGCTGACCCTCAGTATCCACGGAAGATTAGTTCTAGGACCTCCCTAGGAAACCAAAATCCAGATGCTCAAGTCTCTTACATAAAATAGTGTAGTATTTGCATATCAACTAAACACATCCTCCCATATACTTTAAATCATCTCTAGGTTACTTACAATACCTAATAGAAGTAAATGCTATGTATTAATAAACCGTTGTTATACTGTATTGTTTAGGGAATTGTGGCAAGAAAAAGATCTATATATATCTATATATATTCTATTCCATCTATTCCCCCCACACACACCCAAAATATTTTTGATCTGCAGTTGGTTAAATCTACAGATGCGGAACCCAGGGACAGGAAGGCCTGTCTGTATGTGACTGGGGCTGCAAGGGGATCTATATAAATATTTCCATAAGATAGCAAAAGGTATTTGAGATTAGGAGCAGGAACAGAAATGAAAAACCATTACAAATTTAAGGATGACTGGTTATCACTTAAATTTCGTGTCTTCAGCTATATGATTTATAAAATGGTGTGTTTCAAAACTTTCAATGGCAACAAGTTACAACAGTAACTTCAGAATACCGTTCACTTGAAAACACTGGATGAAATGGCCTCTATAATTTTTGTTCAGCTGAAATTTAAGCATGGTCATGCGGTGAGGAAACTTGGCTTTAGTAACATTTTGGTATTTTTAATAGAAAAAATAGTGGAGAAGATTTTCACATGTCTAGAAAGGTAACATGTTCAACTTAACTTGGGCCAATGCTGATTCTGAGGACAGAACTACACCCGCAAGCTTCCAAACTACTTCCTGATTCATTCTGATCTTTACTGGAGAGCTGTCATCCTGCTACTGACCTCATTCAACCCGGTTCGGAGTAAAAGATCAGCGGATTACCGCTCTAGGTAGCGTAGCTGTACGCCATATTGTGCCTTTCGCTAATGTTTATAGTTTGTGTGTGCGCCTGGCATATGTTTGTGCAAGTGTGTTTATCAATAGAACTTTTGGAAAATCCCTGCCTCCTGCCTCTTCAGCATCCTTAAAAAGGGTAACAGCTGGGGGCGGAGGGGGTGTGTGGGAAGGACCCAAAAGCCACACAGGAATGCATTAAACAACGTACGAGAGAAGGCATTTGTTTTAAACTTTCAAGAGCCTTTCAACCATTTTTATCTCAGGTATCATAAAGAGTTGACATGCTTTAATGTTTCCAAAGTGACCCAAAGGAGAAGAGAAAGAAGGAAAGGTGTGTTTTCCCTTTCCAAGCCCCCTCCTCTCTAGTCGTAGAAGCGAAGCAGGTGAGGGCCGGGAGCTCCAGCGTCTGGAAAGGCGTCCAGCGGCTGTGGGGCCGGGACACCTCCGCCCCCCCAGTTCTCTGAAGACGCTCCAGAGACCGCGAAAGCCACGGCAAGCAGGGGAGGGCGAGGAGGGAGGGGGCAGAAGATAAGCGGGCGCCTCTAGCAGATCCTGAGCCCCGACTAGTGCCCCTCAGCTCCTCTTCTTGGAAGCAGCGGCTCCAGGCGCAGGGAGTAGAGAGAAGAAGGCAGAAGATACGTTTCCAGCTGCGGGACGTCCGGCCCGCCCCGCCATCCGCCGACCCTCTCGCGCCTCCCTCTAGCCTAGCCGCCGGGTCGGGCGAGGCCGCCGGCGGGCGCGAGGAGGGGCGTCGAGAGAGGGGGCGCGGGCGGGGCGGGGCGCAGGGCGTGCGCGCTCGCCCGGCTCAGGGCCCGCTGGCTCGCCGCTCTGTAACTCGCTCCCTCAACCCCACCCTGCACTCCTTTCCAGTCCCGCCGCCCCCAACTCCAGGCGCCTCGGAGACGCCTCATCCCCCTCGCACGCACACACTCCTCCCTCCTCCCGCCCGCCCCACAACAAATTAGAGTTTTTGGCGTTACCTCCTCGCGCTCTTTAATCTTCTTTCCTCAACTCCTAAACTTCCCCCCGCCCCTACTTCTTCGGCAGAAGGCCCACATTGGGCGCCTCACTCCGCGAACCCTCTACCTCTCCCCACTATAGGATTGCGCTCACGCCACTCTTGGCTTTAGTGAGCCAATGAGAATGGGACGCCCCTCGTGAGGTTGCCGCCCATAAACAAAATACACTCTTCCTTCTCCTCTCCGCCCCCCGTCCCCACCCCCTTCTTCCTCTTCCTTCATCTCTACCACCTTCGATTGGGCTAAAAGAGGCCCAATCCGCTATCTCAAACATCCATTGGGGCGCGGAAGCTTCGCTCAGAGCAGTATTAACAAGCGATTGGTCAACGATCCAACCACTTCACCGCCCACCCCCGCCTCCGCCGCACCTTCACCACTCTGAAGAGGTCAATCGTATCTCGTTGTTCAGTGATCCGAGAGGTGGAAAGCTATTGGTTCAGAGAGCCCGTAAGACCGGCCTGGAGTGAGCTGTGATTGGTCGACACAGACGCAATCAAGTTCGGTTGCTTACTCTTCCGCTCCTCCCTCCTTTTCCTCCACGCCTCCGTCCCGCCCTCCCACTGCTTTTACTTTCTACGCATTTCTATTTCCTCTTTTATTTATTTATTTGTGATAAACTTAAATGACCCGGCGAAGGAGGCGGTACTCTAGGAGAAGGCTGAGGATGACGAAGCGGCGGCCTGGGGCCAATTGTCGAGAGGCCTGCGGGGTGAGAAGCAGCGGCGGTGGCCAGTGAGAGGCAGGTGTCTGGAGCGCGCCGGGCCTATGGAGCTGGGATGCCCCAGCGGAGGTGGCGGTTACTGGTTGTCTGAGGCGGCGAGCCGCGCTGTGGGGAGTAGCGGGAGCGGAGAGGGGGTGTCGCTGTCGTGGACGGCTGAGGCAGCGGGATGGAGGGTGGTTCGCGGGCGGAGAGTGGGAAAGCTGAAGGGAGTATCTGGTTGGCGGCGGGGCGCGCAAGGCCGCGGCGGGGCTCGCAAGGCCGCACCGGGTCACGGTAGATTCTCTGGGAATGGGACGCAGGTTGCCAGACTGGGTCCCCGGGGCCGCCTGAGCAGTGCTAAGGCTCAAGGAAGAATTTGTTCATGCAGAAGATTTAGAAAAATGCTATGTAGGCCGGGCGCGGTGGCTCCCGCCTGTAATTCCAGCACTTTGGGAGGCCAAGGCGGGCGGATCACGAGGTCAGGAGTTCAAGACCAGACTAGCCAACATGGTGAAACCGGGTCTCTACTAAAAAACACAAAAATTAGCTGGGCAGGGTGGATCGTGCCTGTAATCCTAGCTACTTGGGAGGCTGAGGTAGGAGAATTGCTGTAACTCGGACCCGGGAGGCGGAGGTTGCAGTGAGCAGAGATCGTGCCACTGCACTCCAGGCTGGGCTACGGAGTGAGACTCCATCTCAAAAAAGAAAAAGAAAAATATTATGTAAAACAGGTTAGATTAAGCCGCCCTTCATATAAATGAGGTTTATTATCCTACCAGAAAAAGCAGATTATGCTTCTTATGACTGAACCCCCGAAGTACCAAGGACCCAACCGGAGCCCACAGAATTCAATATCCTGGATGGTAGAAGTAACAAATAAAGCAACACGGAAAGTTAAGTGTGGTTCAAATGCTTCAATAAAACCTTCGTCCTCAACCGTTTGTCACTCAGCATAGCACTCCCCAGAGCCAAATTCTTACCAAATATTGATCCAGTACTCAGACATTGGGGGAAAAATGAGGCTCAAGTCCAGTAGGAAGCCCAGGATAGATTCCTAAAAAGGATCCCTTACAGTGACCAAAATGGGAGGGTGGGGAAATTCGCCTTTCACTATACAAAGAAGAAAAATAATTAGTGCCAAACTAAGTTGCACTTTTTTAGGGAGCTGATATAGCAATAGTTTGTCACAAAATAAGGGGCTTTATCAAAAATACCGTGCATACAAAAAAATATGCTATACTTGAGATTTGAAAATGACGTTGTTTCTAGGACATGGATTTGATGTATAGTTTCCAATAGACTTAAGTCCTCTAGATTTTAACCCAGGCTTCCTTGGAAGACAGAGCATGCTTTCACCTTAAGATGCCTGGTTAGAGGTTTTTACTGAACCTAAGCAAAATAAATTGGACCTGGTAAAAAAAAAAAATGTAAGGACCTTGACCTCATTAAAACCATTAAAGCTATCTTGTGAGGATTATATGTACGAAGCTCTGAGAATCCAGAAAATTATCGTATGGGCATCAAATTTGAAGTCTGGTAACTGCTAGTGAGTTTGGAAACCAAAACACTTTTAAACATACATAAACCTTAGCTAAAAAGTTATATTCGCCAGGTGTGGTGCCTCACATCTGTTATCCCAATACTTTAGGAGGCCGAGACAGGCGGATTGCCTGTGGTCAGGAGTTTTAGACTAGCCTGGTCAACGTCGTGAAACCCTTTCTGTATTAAAAAATACAAAAATTAGCTGGGTGTGGTGGCGCACACCTGAAATCCTATCCACTAGGGAGACTGAGGCATGAAAAATCACTTGAACCTGAGAGGCAGAGGTTGCAGTGAGCAGAGATCCAGCCACTGCACTCCGGCCTGGAGACAGAGCGAGACCTTGTCTCAAAGAAAAAATTAAAAATAACATAATAATAATAATGAGGAAGGAGATTCGGTAATAAAGTCTGCAAAAAAAAAAAAAAAAAAAGTGATTTAGTAACTAATAATTATTCCATGTAGAACAATCAGCAGCACATGAGAAAAATCAGTAAAATTTAATGTTGATGTTCAAATAGTTGATCCTATAATTTCTCCAAAGAGCAATGACCACTTTTTCCAAGTCATTCTTAAAACTCATTGTTTTCAACAAATTTTTAAAGATATTATTCCATATATTGGCATGAGAGTTAAAATTATGATAGGGCACACTAGAAAGTGCAAAATATTTTAATTCAAATAATGATAAGATGAAGCCTTAGGTATTACTGCTCATATTTATGATGGTGGTTATTTCCTGTTGTTCTGAGATTAGAAACCGGAATTAGAATCTTCTTTCTCTAAGAAATCCCTGAATTTTCATATTTACATTACACATCTACAATACCTTGACCACACCGGCAGATAAAAACACTCCAAAAGAGGTACCAAGAATTCCATTCTTATGTCAAGGGGCAAGAGAGATGTTTTCTTGGTTAGCAATTAGCAGAATTGAGAAAACAAAATAAGCAAGTTGAAGTAAGAAAGGAAGGGAAGATGATGAGAAAGGGAAGATGATGAAGAAAGGAAGATTGATAGAAAATGAAAATAAAAGTGACTGCTTAGAGAAGAATTTTAACAGACTTTTATACTTCTTTTAGTCCCTTGGTGTATTGCCTTCACAGATTCTAAATAGTTAACAGTTCCCAAGACTCTAAAAGAGGCCAAACTAGTAGCAAATATGATATACCTATGTTACTAATGAGGACACAGACTTCAAATACTTTATCCAGTGTCACAACTAGCAGAACTTGTTTTCAAACTCATCTGTCTGCCTCTTTCTACTATACTATTTACTTATTCAACAAGTACTAAGTGTGTATCTTCATACCAACTATAATTATTGGACATTTAAGATTGCCAGGAACTTAGAAACTAAGCATAAACAGGAATTGGCATTTTTCTCCAAAGAGTTGACTGTGTCTTGGAAGAGAGGAATAAAGGAATAAATTATGCTGTGTACACATGTGGCATATACGACCCGGGAATACAAAGCAAAGAATACCTAACTCCTAAGAACTTGAAAATTACACTGAACTCATCACTAGACTAAATTCAAAACTTATTCAAATCAGATCTTGCTCCCCAGGGGCTTAGATTTTAATAAGAGCACTAATTAGACATGTATATATACACGTACACACTAGCCAAATGGAAAGAATAATAGAATAAATAGTACACCTTAAGGAGTAGAAGTACAAAATCAGGGAAGCGGTAACTTTTGAGATAGTTTCTGGAGTATTTGTTAGAGAATTTACCATCCATACACACATACAACCACATATGAAATACATGTCACTTCATGTTTTTAGCTATTTGTCTAAGATAGGTACTACTTTTCCATACATGAGCAGGTAACAGCCAATAAAATTAAAGGAAAAAGTTTTCATAATGAAGTAAAATTCAATTAGACATCAAAATTTGTTAGAAAAATGAGCAAAAAATTAAGATTAGACAATTTACATTCAAAGCAACTTAAAAGAGATTTCTATAAACCCTTGTGTAATACAGTTGTGAGACAAGTTATTCTGCACCTGAAACTTACATAAAATTTGCCTTTAACCTCCAAATCCGCAAAATGGTAGAAATCTGAGGCCCTTACTTCACTGGATATGCAGGGGCTTATGTCTTCCTGGTCTCCTGTATACCCACATTCTCATTTCCCTTCAGTTTTTTCTTCTATACCAAGCCATGGATTTACATGGGAAATTCACATCAGAACCATAATCAGTTTCAAACAAACCCTCACATAATCAGAATATAATGGAATTGACTGAAGAATTAGATGTTATAGAAAGGAGAATACAAGAAAATGTAAAAGAAAAGATGAAATTTATTAATAGTATGGTATACTGATTAGATGAAGTGAACATGGAAACAGAACAGAACCCAGAAATCGGTTCATGCATAAATGTCAATTTGATTATGTTACAGATTGGCAACAGATTACTGGGAGAAAAGAGACTATTCAATATGTGGTATTGGGGAAATAATGGAACAAAAACTTGGATCTCTGGTTTATACAGTACACACAAATCAATTTTAGGTACTTTAGGAACTAGATTGTGTGTTCAATCTGTAAACAGAAGGGGGGAACTGTAATTGGTAATTCTTTTGGAATTACATAAGTAGATTTGGGGAGAGCAATCCCTGAAAGGAGCACAGGATAAATAAAATAAGTGTTCAGCATAACAAAGGCCCAGGGACTTTCTTCAGTCCCTAGACCCAGTTGTGCCTAAAACCAGCTGTAAGCCCTGTCATTCCTAGTACCACAAGCGATAATCTTTTTCTCTCTTTTCAGTATTTATCTATTGCTTCTTTTTCTTATTTTGTTGGTGATATGGTTTGGCTCTCTGTCACCACTCAGATCCCTCTGGTAGCTCCTTTAATTCCCATGTGTTATGAGAGGGACCCCGTGGGAGATGATTGAATCATTGGGGTGGGTCTTTCCCGTTCTGTTCTCATTATAGTGAATGGGTCTGATGAGATCTGATGGTTTTTAAAACTGGAATTTCTCTGCACAAGCTCTCTCTTTGCCTGCTGCCATCCATGTAAGATGTGTCTTACTCCTTCTTGCCTTCCACCATGATTGTGAGGCCTCCCAGTCATGTGGAACTTTAAGTCTCATTAAATCTTTTTCTATTGTAAACTGCACAGCCTTGGGTATGTCTTTATCAGCAGCATGGAAACAGACTAATACAGTTAGCCAGAACTGCCAGCAAAATATTGACTAATATTTATGGGAGTATGCATCTTTGTCTTATTTCTGAATTTTTGATATCACATCTTTAGTTTTTTTGCGAAAATTTCATTGAGAATTTCTATATATTCACAGCTTGTAAAGCATTGTATTTTAAAAATTGCCAATAAACATTAAATTTTATCAAATACTCTTTCTAAATATATTAAATAAACATAATTATTATTTATTCTGTTAATAAATTGAGTTATAATGATTTACTGATGAACCATCCTTTCATTCCTAGATA